TTAATTGGATTATAATACCCTTAAAGGTGGGGTAGGTAAGTTTGAGAAACCGGATCGAGATACACTTTTTATTATATTCCATGGAATGCTCTTAACATCCCGGTAGCTATGAATATCTGAAGTGCTTTGACAAAAAAATCCATAAAAAATATCATCTGTGGAAGCTGTGGCGCTGTAAAAAGCACGACCAATCATCTGAGCCGGCCCGGCTAAAGTAACTGGATGGCCTACCTGCCTGTCAGCCTTCCATCTGTGCACAAACTTATCTCGTGCCCTCATTGGTCATGTGCGCGTTCGTGTGTGTTGGAGGAGGGGCTCTGTAAGGAAGGGGCAGATTTGTTCCGGCTGTGTATTTTCAAATTCTAGCGCACTCGAGCTGGTTTCTCCAAAATTACCTACCCCACCTTTAACTTACTTGTTGGGTAGTTTTAAGTGACATAGCCACACAGAAATATGACTGGCGTTCCTACATGTGTTGAATAACAACGTTTCTGTACATGTTTCCTTCCTGTCTGTCTTCTTCTGTGGGTTTTTTATGACTTCAAGCGCTCTGTCTTTTAACCTCTTTCCTTCTCTGGCGCTTTTGTTTTCTTTAGCCATCATGAATCCAAAGTTTAGTGCTCTTCACAAATATAAACATTAATATTAAAAAAGTATTCCAAAGTGTTTTTCTGATGGATAATTTATCTAATGTTAAACAGACAATATTTATTTCTTGGGATTGATATGACTGCATAGTCCGGTGATTCTCCTTAGCAACAGCCTGTTCTTCTTAGCAACGGTCTGTTAGTGAAAAATAATAACCGCTGGAGTTTAAAAATTGAGAAATCAGAATCGAGTATTCAATTCAGCTGGAAATAAACATGATTAAAACACTTCTCCCCATGTATTCCTCATTTTCCTTCAAAAACGTGTTGCCATACAACAGTGAATTAATCAATTCATTTCACTTGATACTTTAGGTGAACAGCAATTTACAGACGACATCTTTACACAACATTCCCCCCCCCCTCACAATCAGGCTGACGTTGTTCCAGTTTACAGATTCAGCACAGCATTTCAGCTAATTAGAATTCATTGTGTTTTGATGAGTTGGTCCACCCTTGATTTCCCAGAGAAGCTTGCTTCCAAGGACACGATTTCCATTTTTGCTTATTATTAAGAAAATGTCAAATTTGTGTTAAGGCCTTTTTGACCTTTTTTGAAGCACTTGTGGCCATTGTAGAAAGGGCATGTTGTCCTAGATATTTTAAAGTCATGTACTGAATTATTGACACCTTGAAAATGCAATCCTATTTCTCATCGTCATCTGCATAGAAACATAACTTAATAAGAGACACTGCAGCAATGTCAACCATTGTTAAAACCGCTAAAAAATGTAAAGTGTGTGCACAGCAAAAAGCCAATGCTACAGCAGTGACATATATCATGTTCTTATTACTTGCAGGATCTCCATCTTGGACAACGGTAACCTTCGGATATGGAACGCAACCAAATCTGATGCAGGCCTCTTCACCTGCATGGCACGAAACCAGTTTGGCGTGGCCAGCAGCACAGGAAGTGTCACCATTAAAGGTATTTCCTATCCTCTTTCTAGATTTCATCCCTGTTTCATCACTCAAGTCTATCTCTTGAGACGTGTGTTTTCCACTCTGACGTCAAGTAGAGCTGCTCGATGTTTCATTCATGGTAAATGGACTGTACTTATATAGTGCTTTATGCAGTCTTTACGACCCCTCAAAGCACTTTACATACTACATGTCTTTCACCCTTTCACACCCATGTATACATAGCAGTGTAGCTTGCTCTAGGAACTTACATTCACACACACTCACACACACTCACACAACGTTGGCCAACGGGAGCAACTCAGGGTTCAGTATCTTGCCCAAGGATACATCGATATGTTGAAAGCACGGGCTGGGATTGAACCAACAACTTTCTGCTTGAAAGACGACCGCACTCTCTCGCAGCCACAGTCTCCGCTGTTACCTGTAAACATACCTGAAGCATTTCATAAATACATATAGAGACAGATACAGAAAGCCCTCTGGACTCTGATTTTTCAAGCAGGGCTTTTTGTCCGTGCTCCCATCATTGGAAATACACATTTGTTGCCAAGCCTGTTTTCAGAGGTGTTGAAAACATTCAGCTCACTGCTTTAGTGCCTCCAGTACTGACAGAGGATATGTTGTGTTGAAAAGGCTGAGTGTTGCTTGATCATATGGCCTGGGGATTGTATTTCTGCTATGGTGCTAAGACTTATTATGCCTTACAACATAGCTAGAGAATACTTTGCCATCAATAAGGCTGTTAATATTTCAGATGTTACAGTAGCTGACCTTGCTATTGCAGATCTTTTGTGGCAAATATCTATCTCTCCCTAATTCCATACGATAGCAACAACTGTTCATAAGTGAGCATACACTGATAATGGAAGCTATCTCTGCATGTTCTGTACTCACTTTGACCTCTGTCTCTAAACTATTTTAATGACAAAAGGCCATTGATATCCTTAAGTTAAACCATTCTCTGGCCAAGGGGAATGCAGAAAAGAGACAGAAAGGAACTTCAAATGTACCATGATATATTCAAAATGAAACTCAAAATGTACAATTTAGATCTGAGAAACAATAGGACACCTTTCTATAGGTGATAAACCCATTTCGTCTGGGAATATTCCTGAAGATGTAAAAACTGCAGTCACCAAGCCTCTCCTAAATAGTTTGTCCAGATACATGTACATTTGTGAGTACCTACCAAGTACACTATTAAAAGTTTAAAAAACGAAATATATCTAAATTGATAAATTACATCGAAAATAAATTACATCTTAATTGATAAATCCATTTCAATATCATTTTTCGGCCTAGTCAAGGTACTGAGACAGCTTTCATGACTGTTCCTTCATGATTACCGTTTAGAAATTGTTTTAAGTTCTTGTCATATTAGATCTTACTGCTACTTTTGACACAGTTGACTACTAGACAATACTAGGAGACAAAATAGGATAAATTGGTTGAATCTTCTGGAAAGAAACAATTTTTCTCAGTTTGTAAGTATGAATATCAGAAGACCTACACGATGTTGAGGTTCCCCAAGGCTCAACCCTTGGGCCTCTTCTGTTCACATAATTTCCTTAGACCACATTATACATAGCATCACCTGTCGTAATCATGCAGAAAGCACTCAAATGTAACTTGATCTGTCATAAAGTGAGAGTCCAAAATATTCTCTCTGCAAGGCAAACAAACAAATGATGATTAGGTGTGCCAGGTCTCGCCCAGTTAAATGGTCGTTGGTGCAAACAAAGGAAGGCTGAAAGTTATTGTTCATCTCGAGACATATTTAGAAACGTTTTTGTAATGATGGAAAAACTTTACCAGGCACGTCGAATGACAATTACAAAGTTTTCATTCTGCGTCAAAAGCAAGAATCTGAGGATTTGTGTTCAGTCACAACTGAGAAACTAAGCCTTGCTTTCATTTCTTGCATGTTAGATTACTGAACTGTTCTTCTCTCTAATCTCCCCCCTCTCTTTGTTAGGACTCTAGCAGCTGGTTCCTAAGTGTGCTGAACACAATACACCAGTTATTTGATGTCTTTCAGTGTTTCGGAGAAAAGTGTATACTGCTCCTCGTCTATAAATCTCTCAAGACGTGTCTTTTTACGATACGAACCCTCTCAGCCTCTGAAGTCATCAGGTAGAAGTCTGCTAACAGTTACCAGAGTGCAAATAAAAATGGAGAAGCAGCATTTACACTGAACAAAATATAAACGCAACACTTTTGTTTTTGCTCCCATTTTTCATGAGATGAACTCAAAGATCTAAAACATTTTCTACATACACAAAATAACC